TCTGTCTCAAAAATGAATAAATGTTAAAAAAAAATTTTTTTTTTAAAAAAAGACACTGAGAATGTCTGTCTCTCTCAGGATCAAGACCAAAGACCCCTCTTCTGGATCCCGGTGCGGTCAGCCCCCGCAGTGTTCAGCCGCAGGGTGATGGCATCCTGAGCGCCTGCTAAATGGCCCACTCATGTGCAGCACGTGTCTCACTATTTCTGGGGAGCCGACACACAAATGGGGAAGAAGGGGGTAGCAGGGGCCACAGTTCTTCAGCCTCACAAAGATCTGTTTTGCTGACAGGGGATGGACGACAAAAGGACCAGCTTTCGCAGGGCTAAGAAGGCAGAAAGTCTTATCAGGGGACATCACAGCCTCCGTGCTAATGGGGGACGCCAAGTGGAGGACCAAGGGCAAAACTCTGCACGTCAAGCATCCTGACAACCTGTCCCAGCAGGAGGACCCCGGTGTGGTCCCGCCTTCTCTCATCTGGTGTTTTGTTTTCCAAGAAATTAAGGAGGCTCCTAACGTGAGTTCCCTGAAATTTCTCCATGCTATGGTTTCCAGCAAATATTATGTCTCTCTCACACTGGTACTTTCTTCCCTTTTCCTACAACCTTAAATGTCAAGTATCTCTTCTCTAGAAGCACTGAATTGAGATAAAGAGGATTAGGGGATATTTTGATTCCATTTAAAGATAGCTGGGAGCAAAAGGGAGTAAACAGACATGCTTAGAGGCCCATTTCACCTCACTTCTCCCTCCCGATCCTCCTTCCCACCCCCTCAGAGGTTGCCCTGACAGCTCCCGACACAGGGGGGGATGAATGCACCCTCCAGGGCCTGCCTTCTGGAACTCTAGTTCCCGCATTAACCGTGATTGGAAGCCAGTTAGCATGAAAGGCTCTGATTTCCTGGTAAACTGGAGGGAGGCGCCTGGTGGGAAAAACAGCCTCGGAATGAGATTCCAGCAATAGCCCCTTCATAGAGACGCCTCGGAATTCACTAGGGGCCCCTTGGAGCCACCCGAGAAGATACCACGCTCTGAATGGGTCAGTGGCAAGATGTTAAAACCAGCCGACAGGAGCTCAATAGAAACTTCCACACTTTTAATGCAGAGCAACCAAGGCTGCTTAAATATTTACAAGTACAATCCATCACTTAAAGGGCCAGTTAAGGCTGCAGAGAGATAGTGGTCTTCTGGGATCTTCTGGGATCTTCATTACCAGGATTTAGTTATTGTCGCATCTTGTAGAAGCCCGGGGACCATTCTTATTCATAATAATGCTTTTCATCTATTGAACACTTACCCACCATGTACCGGCCATTCTCTTATGTATGAGAATATACAGGTTGAGAGGCCAAGTGACATGCCCGAGGTCACACAGCAAGTAACTAGCGGAGGCAGAATCTAAAGTGTGTTCGACGCTAAAACCTACACTTGTGACTTTGGCTTTGGTCGCGATGGAATATATACACTCCCTCCTGCCGCCCCTGTAAATAAACAAAGAAGTGGGCAAGACTCATGAAACGGTTATTCCAGATAGTGGACAACAAGCAGTGAAGGACTGTGATCTCTGAGAGAAGGGAAGCAAATGAGGGGAGGCCTAAAAACACACCAGCTTTCAACCGGGAGGCGTTTGTCAGGCCACAGCACAAGCAGGGGGTAACGGAGCTAGAAAGGGGCAGTCTCACTGAGTTGAAGAGGCAGATCTGAGTTTGGGGAGGTAGGGGTGGCTAGAACCTACCAGGGCAGTAGCAGAGAAGAGGGAGCTACACAGAGAGAGAATTCCAGAAACCTGCACCGATGGCCTCCTGAGTCTGTTTCTGGATACCAAGCTGAGCAGGAACAGAATGGAAGTCTACGCAGCCAAGCAGAGAATAACTTCGGAGCCCAAATCCCTTCGAGCCCTGCTCTGGGCTGATGGCTCAGAGCCTGGAGCCTGTTTCCGATTCTGTGTCTCCCTCTCTCTCTGCCCCTCCCCCGTTCATGCTCTGTCTCTCTCTGTCTCAAAAATAAATAAACTTAAAAAAAAAAATTTTAAAAGTGTAACCCTGTAAAGCCAAAAGTGATAGCAGTGTACTAGAGCATCTAGAACGTGGCGACGTAACGCAGTGGCAGAAAGAATGGTGTGAATGGCAGACGTGAAAGTCGACTGCTCTAAGGCGCTCACGCTGAGTGTGATGTGGGGTGATAATCACTGGAAGATACGCTATATACTATGTGAAAGTCACATATTGCAAACCATAGAGGTGCCCCTAAAAAACACATCCCAAAACGTGGAATAATAGGAAACCCTTCACAAACGGCTTGTTGAAAGGTGTGTCTGATGCCGTGGACCCCAAAGGCTTGTGAGCAGCACATGACGTCACAGCTTCCCAAATTGGAGGGCGGGGAGGGGAGAGGAACCCATGATTTTGCGTTGGCGTTTGGTCTGGTTAGTGCCTAGTGCCCTCTTCGTGGCCCCTCTGGACTCCCACCCAGGCCTTTGCTCAGCAGAACACACGCCGTAGGTCAAACCCTGTGACCAGAGATGGTGTTTAGAAGAAATACCGTTTCTCGAGAAATGAAGAAAAAAAAAAAAACCCACCACCTACCTCCGTGGGGTACGACTCGTGTTAGTTAGCATGGCTCAGAGAAAGCAGGGCCCCATCTATCTGTTCATGAAAAGCAGCATTTTAGGATTAAAGTCAATGCATTTTGGGGCATCTGGGTGGCTCAGTCGGCTAAGCGACTTTGGCTCAGGTCATGATCTCACGGCTCGTGAGTTCGAGCCCCACGTCGGGCTCTGTGCTGACAGCTCGGAGCCTGGAGCCTGTGTCGGATTCTGGGTCTCCCTCACTCTCTGCCCCTCCCCCACTCACGCTCTGTCTCTCTCAAAAATAAACTTAAAACAAAATCATAATAAAGTTAAAGCATTTCTATTCTACAGAAGCAGGTTAAGTGCGGTAGCTAAATGAACTCTTGGTGGATGGGAATGTTCGATGGCAGGTGTCTACTACATGCCTTTATAACGGCCTTAGCAAGATGGACCCCATTATGTTTGGATTGGGGGTAGATTCCAATCCACCATTGCTCTGGCACATATCAATTCCTCCATACACAGCCAGACGTGCCGTTAAATCCAAAACCACAGAGGAAAGAGTTCAGTTCCCAAGGAAACGGTGAAAGCTGAACAATGTAAAAATTTACAGGTAGGCCCGCATCAAATTCACCCTGATTTCCAGTAACACCTAGACGCCCCTTCCAATGGACGGCCAAAGAACCACAGAAGCTTCTGGTATTACCAGATGGTTTTAATGGCCTTACAGATCTGGTGAATCAAAATGAAACATCTCCCCTCTACATCTCATCCTTTTTTTTTTTTTTTTTTCTAGATCCAGGTGAAATTGATTCTTCTTGGCATGGCAGAGTTTTCAGAGTCCACATTCCTTAAACCCCCCGTTAAAAAGATCGCTCGCTAAGTTCAGTCTGGTGCACAAAACGCCGCAGACTTAGCGCCCAGGCAACGTCTTCAGATGTTCTCCGAACCAGATCGGCCACGCTCAACACCGTCCGCGTCCGTAAAAGAGGGGGTGGAATTCGTAGATTTCGTGAGGACCTGTGGCTTCCTTTTGCCACGCTCGATACGCGGGGACCATTAGGATGGGGTTGCGAAGGATGAGCTGGAAAGGTGAAAATGTTTTTCGGCCTGAGTTTCTCAACAGTGGAGGTGGAGAAGAAGGAAGAGCGACACCAGCACAACGCTGACCGTAGACTGGAGGGCGCACACGCCTGACTTGGTGGTAGCGGCCGTGGCTGAGGCCTTGGTGGTGGTGGCGGCGGCCGCCGCCGCCGCCGCGGTGGTTCCCTGGGAAGAAACCTCCTGGGGCAGGAGCAGCGCCAGAAGCAGCAGCCCCAGCTGCAGCCTCATCAACATCCCTCTTCTCATGTCCCCTGTGTCGCGCTTGGTGCTCAGGGGAACGAAGGACCCGGAGCTGCAGGTGGCTGCGGGCGAAATGGCGAGGGCGGTGCCGGCAGGGTCTTACTTACGAGGGGGCGTCACAGAGCCTGATGAGCCAAGGGCCTTCCGGCGCCAGCCGGCGTCACAAGGCCCGACCCCGAGGGCCCCGCCCCCTGGACCTTGGGCTCCGCCCAAAGCCCGCCCCCCTCCGCCGCAGCCTCAGATGCCCGCCAGTGCTTCCAGCCGGTGCTTCCCGCCTACAGGTGACCCCATTCCTTTGCTTTGGAAACAAAAACGTCCGTAACTTGTTGAGAGCTCCCGAGCCCCATGACTTAGAAATCTAAGGTTCCCCCTGTCTTCCAAGCAGCATGTGATCCCTCCAGATCCTTCAAATTGGCCCATGTTTGTGGCTGGTCAGTAGCACAGAGCATGACCTCTGAGTTTTGTCCCCCGAGGTAATCACTATTGATATGTGGCACGTTTCTATTTTTGTATCTTCCTACTTTTCTATCCTGGTTTTACCTATGGAGGTTGAACTAGCAATTGGGGAGGCAGGATTTTTGTTTTGTTTTCTTGAAGAGTCGGGCTGGTGGACTTCAAGCTAGAAAAAGCCAAAGTGGAAATTGCTTTTAAAACAAACAGACACAAAAGATTATGACAGTGACCATTTTAAAAAATAATGAAAGGAAGTCCATGGTTCATAAAGGGCACTTGGAGTCTGAATAGGAAATGATCCCATCTGCAGGGCTGGGATGGGGAAAAATAATCCATTCACCGCTGTTTGACATTTGGGGTGTGACTGGTAATAAGAAATTTACCAGATTTGTAAACTTTTGGCCGGGATTCTCTCATCAGCCTGTAGAGAAACTTTAAAGTCACTCAATGCCCTGTCTTGTCCTTTGTGTTCAAGAATTCGAATATTTTTACAGTCCAGAAAATTAGATAAATATTTTCTTTACATTCCAGAAAATTAAAACCTACTTCCTCCTTGCTTTTTCTAAGTCACTACCTCCTGCCTCTTCAAGAACCTGAGTCTCTTTTTCTGACGTTAAAGGCAAAAGCAGCCTGAAGAATTCTTATTCCTTTTTGCCATTTGGGAGTTGAACCCACCCAAACTGGATCCCCGCCCCCCTGTCCCCACCTCATTTTTTTCCAAAAGTGATACAGAGGTGGTGGCAGACGTGGAGAAGGCTGGAGCCTCCCTGGGGGCTGGAGAGGCCACCACGTTTGGGCAGGTGCCTGTGTCCACTTTGGGCCACACATGGTCACGCAAGAGCTGAGAGCAGTGAGTCATTTAGGGTGTTTCAAGGACAAGGACCCTCATGGATGGATCTTTCCTCCCAACTTTTTTGATTCGAACAAACACGGCGAATCCCCCGGCCCACCCCAGCCTCATTCGTTTTTCTGAGGGTTCAGTCGGAGCCGTGATGCATGTTTTGGTAAAAGCAGAAACTTGTTCTTGTCTTTCTGTTCCAGCCGAACAGAGGGGCTAACCCGGGTGTGTCTGGAACTTTTCCTCCCTCCACACAAAGGTCCTCTATTGTGATGTGGAGCAATCGTCTGTCATTGCCTAGCAACTGAAGCCCCTGTCTACACTTAGGGAGAACCCACCTGCCGGAGGCCATCTTTCCCCATCTCCTCAGACACTTGGACGCAGCCACGTTTCGAGTTTCCTGTTAATCAGATGTCTCCAGCCCACACTTTGGAAAGAAAGTTCCTGACAACTTCTCTGCTACATTAGCCAGATTGAGTTTGTGTTGTGTGAAATAAAAGCCTTGACTGACAGGTTAAGTTTTGCCTCCTCAAAAATTCGCCACCTTATTTAGGACTGAGTCAAACTGCCGCCCTCCCCAGAGAAGCCTTTTTCCGATTCCCAACAGCCAGAAATGAAGTCTCCCTTCATCCAGTCTGGGCTTGCAGCTCCCTGAGGGCAGTCACTTTATTTATTTTTAATTTTTTTAGCGCTTATTTATTTTTGAGAGAGAGAGAGAGAGCATGCATGCACGCAAGTGGGGGAAGGGCAGAAAGAGAGGGAGACACAGAATCGGAAGCAGGCTGCAGGCTCCGAGCTGTCAGCACAGAGCCTCATGTGGGGCTCGAACTCCCGAGCCATGAGATCATGACCTGAGCCAAAGTCGGATGTTCAACCAACTGAGCCACCCGGGCGCCCCGAGGGTAGTAACGTTAGAGCCGTCTCCTAGAATAATGGTTACAACCACGGACTCTGTTCAGTCCCCAGCTTTGCCACGAAGTGTGTCTTTGGGCAAGTTACTCAACCTCTCTGTGTCTCGTCTGTAAAATGGGGGGGAAAGAGCATGAACCTCACAGGACTGCTGCAAGGTTTATTCCATGTGTCCACATAGAGCAAAGGGACAACGCCTGGCCTGTCACAAACACTTCGTGGGAATTTCTATCACGGGACTCCATTCACACCACCACTACCGTCACCTGTGGTCCCCGGGGGCGGGGGGAGGGGTGAAATGCTCCCCGCATTGTGTGACTCATCCCCTGCAGAGTAGGGACCGTCCTGAGCACCATCAGGACGTAACTGGCACGTGGATGGATGACGCCAGCAGTCAGTCCTCCCAGCTCCGTGTGTCCCCAGCCCTCTGGAGCCGGCGGCCTGCCCCCCGGGTGTGGAGGGAGCCTCTGGAGGACTTCCGGCCCGGCCATCCTCCGCTGGCTCCCAACGCCCAGCTGTGTCCCCAGGCCTCTGAGGGCAGAAGCCAAGCTGGGTCCCCAC